GCTATTTTGAAAAATAGGGAAAAGGCAGGCCTTGAAGGCACTAATATTATCTGAACACTCAGAGGGCAAAAGGGCCATTGATAATATAAAGGAGGAAATAAGAATGAGTATAGAAAAGATAATAAAGACAACTCTCCTCTATTTCTGCTAAGCTGTAAAAACCTCTGAATAATAAGGTCATTCTCATTACACCTTTCCCAAACTCTGTTCCTTAATTAAAACTTAAAGTTGATTTCATAATATAATAAAAACAAATTTACAATTACTATTTTAGCAATCTAATTGAAATGCAATTTCTGATAATCAACTCATAAAATCAGCTGTCCATGTTCCCACAACTTCAACCATACATACAAACTTCTCAGCTTGATGAAAAACTCCACCAGCCCCAAATTATACAAAAATTGGAAAATAACAACTTACTAGATCTTCTAAATTGGAAAGTTGTTCAAATCCCTCTGATACGCAAGTTAGTTCATTATGCTGGAGATATAGCCCCTTCAGATTTCTTAGGTTTGCGATTTCTTCAGGGAGTGTTTTCAGTTTGTTATGGCTATTCATTGATAAAATAAATGCTGAATAATTTAGTGACAACACAATAAATACTTATAAAAGGCATTTTTGCTAACCAACTACATGGGCTCATTACAAAAATGAAATATGGTTACTAACTTAAGTTCCTATCAAAATTCACACCCTAAAAATTTACACTCATTAAAATAACAGTAATTGACAGTAACCAAATTGGGGTTTCAAAGAAAAACAACAAAGAAATAAAGGTTTTTAACCAAACATGAATAATTTGTGAACTTTTGAATACTTGCTTATAATGAACTCACAATTTTACATGCAATGGGAAATGACATACGAGACTCGATTTTTTATACTGTATCTGACATTTAGAATTTTGGCAAAATATGGACAAACATACAACATAATGGAGTTACATCTTATATGGAAATTAGGTTTTAAACCTCGCATTCAAGGCAAAAACAGCTAGTTGTTTTTGAGGGTCTGGTATTTTAAGTTGAATGTAATATACAATTCCACTCTTCCTTGTGCTTGGTCTTAACTTTTCAGTTTAGCCCTTCTGTACAGATATTCTGCTTAATTATTTAGGAGAAGTCCCAAATCACTGGGGGTGATATACTCCCTGATAATTAAGAGATGACTGAACTAGTTCCTAGGTTTATCACAACTTACCTATTCATTTATGAATTCCACTCTATTTTCATGCCACATACAGTTACTTCACAAATAACAGGGAAGAAATGAGAAATATAAGGGGCTTGCAATAACCCTAAATTACATTAGAATAAAACTAGCTGGAACAAAAAAGCCAAAAGTTGTCTTCTAAAATAAGAACCAATAAAACTGTTAAAAGTCAGATATTACTGTTGGTTACTTAGCTGAAATCTTTGCATATTTGATAGGGATCTAGTTGGACAGGGATGTAATTCTAGCTATATATTTCTCCTTCTCTTTTTCTTACCTAATTACTCCATTCTAAGATTCATACTCTTTTAAGTTTTGGAATCTAAAACTAAAGCCACCCCCACTCTGTATTTACTCCCTCTTCTCTTCCTCTCAACTCTCCTTACTCTTATTCCTTTGACTTGTAAGGGCTGAAGAGGCTTTAATATAGTTCTAAACAATTAGTACCTTTTTATGTATAGATATTTTTACTGATTTATGGTAATTTTACATTTTTTTCCCCAAATGAGGACTGTTATCTGAAGGACTATTTTTCTTCTAAATACTTAGCTTACCTCCAGAAAATAGATTTCACTATGTTAAATAGTATCATATCTATTTTATAAGCCACAATTTTTCAAACTATGTTGTAAGTACTTAAACTGTTTCTTCTCTCAAATGATGTCTCCCTTTATCTCCTTTCCCATAATCTATGTCTATACAACACAGAAAAGGCAAAGTTATTCTTTCTTAAAAGTCTGGGTGTGTATTAGAGGGCAAACACAGTTAGCTAGAGCCTTAGCTGCCTACCATCCCATGTACCTATCCATGATAGTACTAGAAATATATCCATAGAATCCCAGGAGTCCTTGGAAAAATTTAAAAACTACTACTAATAAAAGCCATGAAATTTTTCATCATTAATGAAAGAATAGTTTTATATTTCTCTCTTACTGTTTAATACCTAGATACTTCTTAGACTATTAAGCTAACTTAAAAGTTGAGATAAAAGCAAAGGGGTTTACTAAAATAATCACCACTAAAAGTTGCTTCATAAAAATAATACAAAAGCATTTTTAAAAATCAACTGGCCTTAAATTCAGAAAACCAGAAATCATGTAGGCAATTCTAAAACCAAATATACAGACAAATTAAAAACTTAAAGTTTTTATTCTGCTTTAACTACTTTCTAAGATAATATAAAGATATTGTCTAATGTTAGGAAAAAACTGAAAGAATATTAGATTTACACCATTATAATAGCAATATTAGAAATAAATAAGCTTAAATTTTACCTGACATTAAGTTTCTGAAGATTTTCTAGCTCTCCTATAGCAGAAGGAAGGGATGTCAGCTGATTGTCATGTATCTAGAAGTTATCAAAAGATAAAGTCAATATTCTTAGTCTTAGAATTAACAATATATGAACTTGGCCATTGTACAAAATCATTCACCAATAATTCCATTCTTTTCATTCAATGGCAATGAGTAGGGGATTGGTAATTTGTTCTGTGTGTAGAAGATTTTGAAATTGTCCAAACTGCTGTTCAGAAATCATGAAGTGTTAAGTCACCAATTTTAAATATTACAGTTAAAAAATTTTTTACCTCATTGAGTGGAGTTTCAATTTCAAATAAGAGATTAAAGAGTAAGAAACTAACAACAGGCCTCTAATGGTATGATTTATATCAACATATGAAAATTATATGAAAAAGGAGAGAGGGACTTTTCTTGTTCTCACAGAATCATATTGTTTTTAAGGTAGAAAGAACCTTAGAGTAGGCCAATCCATCCATTTACAAATGAAGAAAATAAAGAGTTCTCTAAAAATTTAAATCCTACTTTTCTACACATAAATTGGAGGATTTTTGATGTTGCTAAGTAAAGTACACCAGAAGTCTGTAGATTCTGAAATATACTACTCATGCTTCACTTTACTGCATGACCTGGTACCTAGAGACTAAAATGAGTCCCTGAATAAAAACACAAAAATATAATTTCAGTAATTTAACTCAATGAGGTTGAAGGCAAAGAACAACAAAAAAAAGCTATCCTAAGTACTTGCTTTAATGTCTAGAATAATAATTATCAAAATAAGAAAAAAGATGAGGAGAAGCAACCACTTATTAAATACTGTTTGTATGTATTAACTCATTTAATTCTACAAACAATTTTTAAAAGTAGGTAGTAGTATCAGTCCTGGTTTATAGATACAAAGACACAGACAGGTAACTTTCCCAAGGTCACACAGCTATTAAATGGCAGGGTCACAATTAGAAACTTGGTGTTCTGACCCTGCACTCTTAACCATTATGCTATGCCTAACATAATAATTTCTACCAAGTCAACATGAAACGTTTTCTGCTTACCAAAACCTAAATTTAGCTTTTGAATCCCTTTGACTAATAACCCATATTTATAGTCAGTCAACTTACATCAAGTACAGTCAGTGCCGGCAGGAGTCGAAGGTCATCTGTAAGTGACTGAAGTTTATTGTTTGATATGATTAGTTTGGTCAAATCCGTCTGCTCCCACCATCGTTCAGTAGCACTGAATGAAAGGTTCTGATTAGCTTCCTCAGGGATATCTACATTTATTCTCCAGACACACTGAGGCACTATTTCCACCACCACAACACCACAAAAAAAAAAGAAAAGAAAAAATGAAAACAAGAAGTAGATACTAAGTAGCAGCATACTTTTGTAATAGCTATTCAGTTTATATATTGAAAACAATTTCTGAAACAAATTTCAAATACATCAGAGTAATAAACTGTAACTATAGTGAAAGTTGATTTTATTCAAAAACAGACTATAATATATATTTCACATATTAACTCTCACTTCATTCAACTTCAACTTCATTCAACTTTTCTACTAGGTATATACACTGCACAGCACATATATAAGACAAATAAATAAGGGACCCTACCATTACACTAACAGACTAAGAGAGAAGGCATGGAAATCAACATCTATATGTAACGTTAAAATTTTTATAAGAGAAGTATATACTAAGGCTCAGAAAGGGCTTGTAATATTATCTAATAATAGCTAACACTTACAAATACTTCTAACATCCTAACTCATTTAAACCTCATGACAAATGTTAGGTAGGAGCTATTACTATTCCCATCTTATGGATGAGAAAAATGGAGCACAAAGAGAACATATAATTTGCCCAGGGCTGCACAGCTAGTTAAGTACTAGGGATGTGATTCAAACCTTGGCAGGGCTATACTGTTTTGCTTTCCATTTATATTTGGGAGAAATATCTGACTCAGGTGGCTACTCTCTATTTTACCTGACATGTAGTTTTATTTCTCACCCCACCATACAACATTGTGTTATGCTATTGCAGCAAATCATAACTTGTGTAATACAGCAAATAAGACTGTATAAGTTCAACAGGGAGAGTCCACATTGTCACCACAAAACTTGAAGATCTGAAAGTTTCTATAGTACTGTAGCACAACTATTTTAAATAATCCTTCATTCTTTGCAAAAAGTAGGACTATATATAGGGATGACGTAGAATTTTGAGCTCTACATCAAGGCAATCACTGGTTATGCCCTGCTGTCACTATCATTTCAAAACCACCAAAGATTAAATGGAAAGATGTAGTCAAAGATGCAAATTCAAGACACTGAACAGCAATTCTGAATGATTAATCTCATATAATGTTACAGAAACAAAGCAAAGCCCCTGAAAACCATGAGACTTACACTCACTCAAAAATTAGCTACCTATATTCATATTAGAATAAATTATAAGATCCCTCTCCTACTCCATATTTCTAATTAGGTATTCTCTGCTTCTCTACTCATCTACCACTGAATCTTCAGCAAACGAGACTAACACAGAAAATGAAACCACCTACATTTCTGTTTGTAAATCGAGGTTTATTTTTAAAGTGAAGCAAAACAAAATAATTTCACTCTTCCCAAATGACTGAAAGCCAAAGCACCATTAAATTTATCATTATTATTTTGGTGTATACGTATGGATAGTTGAGTGGGAATGAGAAACATAAATCAGCCAGAAATTGTCGTGAATTTACTGACATGAAATTTGCACACAATACAATAAAAATAACTGTTACCCATCAACTACCTTAAATGAGTGTTAATATTTTATCATTATTATTTCAGATATTTTTGTTACCAAACTTTGTCTTTTTGGAAACTATCTAGACATGGATAATTGTTAAGATTATATTGTTATTGAACATACATCAATTTGCTTCTCTTTGAACTATGACTTTCTACTCATTCTTTTTTCCATTAATTGTTTGTGAGGTATCCCAATTCCTTCCACAACTCATAGCATCAAGATTCATGTCACTATCGTACCCCTCCATATGAAGAACCACTAAAAGGTACATATTGGTCCTAATTACTGAGGAATTCTGTGGAGCCATCCTAAAAGTAGTTTAGCAATATATGAAACAGAAACTACAAGGTAAAAATGAATGTCAATAGCATATAAATGGGAAAAAAATTTACTATGGAGGTGGGTATTATGTAAAATTTCAAACATACACGTAAGTTTAAAGAAGAGTATGATGAAATAAAACTCCATGTACCCATTACCCAGCTTTAAATATCAGCTTTAACACCTTTTACTTTTCCTCAGTTTTAAACACCCTATAACGTTCCTACCTATTCTGCCATGGTCATGCAACCAGAAAGCAACAATCAATAACTCCTTAACAACTCCATTTTCATTTTCTCTAATCCAGTGAAAAAGAGCTGCAATATTTATATTGAACCAAACTGATGATATATGCTCCTAAAAAGCATTGTCATTTAAAATTTCTAGAATATTTACAACGTTCTTCTTTGAAGTTGGTTATTAACAATTATTTCTCTGTGAGAATACCTTTCTAAATAAGTTATAGAAGTGACACTCAGAATGACTAAAAATTGCCAACATTGCTGAAATTATAATTT